CCGTGCGCGCACGGCTGGCCCTGGCACTCGTCCACGTCCCGCTGGCAGCTGGCGCCCGCGTAGCCCGGCGCGCACACGCAGCGGTAGGAGCCCACGCCGTCCAGGCACGAGCCCCCGTGCAGGCAGGGCGCCGACGCGCACTCGTCCACCTCGGCCTCGCAGGTCACGCCTGGACAGGGGCCGGAGACACGGGGACCGAGAGGTGACACCCAGAGGCCGAAAGTGCTCCCCAGTTACCAGGAGCGAAGTGGGAGGCTCCAGAGAGAGACTCGGTCGCTTCCTTCCTTCGGGACAGGTGTTTCTTGCGCCAGCAGTGGCTGGCGGTTGGGTAGAAACGTGACAGACATCCTTGTCCTCATGGAGTACTCAGCAGTCTAGGCCAGGAGACGGGGACTGGGTCCATGATTATATAAATGGGGACTGATGTCTAATGCTGATGAACCCAGCCAGAGAAAACTAGATCCTGTGAAAGCAAGAGCAGGGTCTGGTCTGGAGAAGTGGGGGTCAGGGAAGGCTTCTTGGAAGAATACCCTTTTGAAGGAAGGGACAGGGGACTAAGGTGAGCAGTTGGATTCCAGAGAGAGACCGCGGCATTGGTCAGGTCGCGCGTGGGGCGGGGACATGATGCCCCAGGAGGTGGGAGCTGTGTGGAAGGTCAGGAGCGAAGGGGAGCAGGGAGGAGTGAGGCAGGGGTGGCCCGGGGCAGGGCCTCGCGGGCCAGGCAGCAGACTTGGAGCTCATCCTGACAGTTTTAAGCAGCTGAGGGACACGGCCCTGCCACATTTTAGAAGGCTCACTCCTGTGGCTTTGAGGAGGGTGTACAGAGAGACCCTGGGGAGGAGGGGGATTGAAAAAACCCTGGGGAGTGGGGGAGACGCTGGAGTAGGATAACCAGCTCCTCCAGACTTTCTTGCACTGTCTTGGTTTTAAAACTGGAAATCCCTTGGCTGTCCAGTTAGCCCAGTTGGCTAGAGCGTGGCACTAAGGTCACAGGTTCGGACCCCGATACAGGCCAGCCACCAAGAAAACTGGAAGTCCTGAGTCCCGAGATCCCCCACAGTCCTGGGCAAACTGAGACGCTTATGTGGCCCTCTCAGGGAGAATTGCAGAGTTTGGAGATACACAGTCCTAGGTCACTGTGGAGTTCACATGTCACTGTAGACTCCAGTGGGCCCTGCCTCTGCCCTCCAGCAGGAACCCTCCCTCTTCCCAGCTCAATGAGCATGAAACGTGGCCCCTCCTTCCCGTGACCCCTCCCTCCCCTCGCCCCAGCTCACTCCCACCCTCTGTGCCAGGGGGAGCCAGGCCCAGGCCGCCTGGAATCCCAACCTCCCCCGCCAGGCTCAGAAGGGAAGGAGGAGAGAAATGAGTCATGCTCACATCCACCACTCACCCAGAAAGAGTTCCCCAGAGCGTCCAAGCCCCCACATCCGGGCGCACGCACCTGCTGGTGACACACACGCACTCCCCACACACGCACTCAGCCCAGACACCTGCAGATACTGGCAGACACAGAGAGGCAGTCCTTCACTCGCAGAGACGGGCAGATGTGACCCACACTCGCACATACACAAGTAAGACATGCAGACACTGAGACGCTCCAGTGAAGAGAAAGATGCCAAGAACCAGCTTCCAAAATCCATTTCCATCAGCGTGCTGTCTCTTCACTCTATGCCCCTCCCCTGGAACTCAGCCCCCCGATCTGGATCCCTTGCTCTGAGGTGACCTCAAACTGCTCTCTGCCCTTACTTAGTGGCGAGTTGTCTGAACTCAGGGTTGAAGTAGAACCCAGAGTGTCTACACTGCAGACTGCAGCTGCACCCTCCTTCCCAACTTCAGGCCACGCTAGGAAGCAGCTCCAGGACGCTCTTGCCTCGGAGCACGGGTGGGACTCGGACGCGCCATCCTCTGGAGGCGGGAACCGATGTGTGCTCAGTGCCAGTCACTTTTCTGAGCATTCGTGTATATGTTACCCCTCCCCCCCAAGACAGCGGGGCTCCCTGGGGTACATCTACATGACAATTTGAACCAGACCACAGTGTATCTATGCTAGAACGATTGGGGATATTCAGAGGGAGGGGGTCCACATTACATCCTGTGCCACTCCAGTGGAGAAGCTGGACAGTGTCTACGTGACAGCTTGACACAGGTCTGGAGTGAGTAAACGCTGGAAATACTGTCTGAGGTCTCATTAAAGCTGAACCAGGCAAATCTGCACTCTGTAAACTGCACTGCCAGAGATGACTGAGGGGCGTCTCCACCCCCAGAGCCAAACCAAGCTCTGTAAAGGGACTGCAGTAGCATTTGTCCAGGGCCCGATCCATGCCAGTGCTCGCTTGCACATATGTACTCATCCAGGGCTGCCAGAGAAGCGTCAGCTCTTGGAGCTGCTGGTGGGATAGACGTTACAGACCCCCTCCCAGCGAGGCACATTACCTGTGTATCCAAGGGGGCAGTGGCATTCGTAACGGTCGGCCAGGTTGCGGCAGGTGGCCCCATGGTGGCAGGGCCGGGACGCGCACTCATCAATGTCCAATTCACAGTGTGGGCCCTGGAAACCGGGCACGCAGTAGCAGCGGAAGCCATTGGGATCTGGCCCCTGGGGCACACACAGAGCGCCGTGGTGGCATGGCTGGGTGGCACAGCCCTGGGGCTCCGTGGGCCCACAGGTGTAGCCACCACTCTCTGTGGCCTGGCACTTGGTCCCTGGAGCGCACGGGTCTGAGGCACAAGCACTTGGGGTCTCTGAAGTCACCGTTCCTGCAGAAAGAGGAAGCTGGCTGGGCAGGGTGAGCAGGGCTACAAGGACACTCCCCTCCCCCCACTCGCAGGCCCAAACCCAGCACCCGGAGCCAGAAGGCAATGTGGGTCCGTCCCAGCAAGCTGCCCACATGTACACCTGGAGCTGGGAACGGAGTTAGGAGTGTCTGCGTAGCCTAGCTCTGGGGTGGGGTGGGGGGACCGGCGAGCTGGCACTCACTAACTCTGTGAGCCTCCCCTTCATGGTCCCCTCGCACCCTCTGCAGCACCCCTGTGAGGCGGGACTGTCGTGCCCATTTTACAACACAGCAAATGGAGCCTCAACTGGAGACTTGCTGTGGTCACACAGCAAGTTCCCACTGGCACAGGCTTCAAGGTCTGTCCGGGTGATTTCGGCCCCACCCAGGGAGGGGTCTCCTCCGGTTTCCTCTTCCACAGGCTCCACTGGCTCCCGGGAGACCCAGGAGGAGAGGCTGCTCCCCCGCCCCCTCCTCTCCTGCTGGGGTCTGGTAACTCCATCGCTGCGCGAAACTGGAGATGGGCCACCTCTGCCTCGGAGCATGGACGACTTCAAAGGCAGGGACCATGTGCTCGGCGTCTCTTCCCCCGCCCCTCCTCCGCCTCCCGCCTACTGGCCTGGGAACTTCCAGAGGACCCCTGGCCCCCGCTTTGTCCCCCGCTTTGTCAGCAAGTGCTCTCCGTGAACTGCACCAGTGGGGGCTCAGCGAACGCCTGCCACCTGCCGCTGTGATGCCACCACCACACGGAGCTGCCTCTGCCACAGGGTGACCCACCGGTTTGGAAGCCCAGCCTAGAGAGCCAGCCTCCCTCCTGTCCACCCTCTTCCCTTCCTCAGAGGCTTGTCAGGGTGACACCCAGATAAGAACTGGGGCTGTGAAGTGAAACAGCCCTGGGTTCAAACTCCAGCCCAGAAAACTATTAGCTATGAGACCTCGAGCAAGTCATTTCTCCATCTGAGCCTCCACTGCCCGATCTGCAAAGGGGACGATGACTCGAAGCCTCAGGTACTGCTGCCGGTGCCTGCTCGTGTCGGGTCAGTAGGCGATGGGGGAGCCGCCCCCACCTGGAGTTCCGAGAGGCGCCCCTCCCCCCCAGGTTGTCATCCAGACACTAACCAGGCTCCAGAACCGCTTCAGACCTTGCAGCCTCCCCTCCCCCATCTGGTGAAGACCCCCCAGATAAGGCTGGCCGCCTTTCAGGCGTCATCCACATTCCACCCCGCAGGGCTGTCCACTGGCCCGACCCCCACCCTGCCCAATGGGCCCAAGCAGGATGAGGGACAGTGAGACAGATACCCACGGATGGACCCAGGGAGACAGCCCGCTGTCTAGTCCCACCCTCGAGTGCCCAAAGTACCTGGTACAGCTCAACGTGCGCTCGTTCTGAGATTCCCAGACTGGGGGACCCTAGTGCCCACCCGGGGCCAGGCAGCAAGCAGGGCACAGAGGGTCTGAAACACTGTCAAGGAAAGAGGACCTGCTTCTGGCCATAGTTACCCTCCCCAGCTCGGGGCCTGGTCCTATGGGTGAGGGCACAGGGCGCCTGGGCCTCTCGGAGGGCTTATGGGCAGTCTGTCTCTCCCACCCGGCCACTGTGGCTGAGCAGTTCAGAGTTGGGTCTCCCAAGGCTAGATGGGTGGTCCATGGGGGTGGGAGTGGCTCGAACTCCCTCTTACTTGAGCACAGGTTTCGGGCATCAGACAGACCTGAGTTGTATCTGGGGTGCGCACAATGCCCACCTCGTGGGGATGGTGTGAGAAGGCACCGAGGTGAGGGGTGTAGAGCCCTGGCACCCAGTGAGCCCCCAGTGAGAGGCTATGGCCATTATGATCAGGGTCCCTTGACCTTGCATGGCTCTGGAGGACAGTAAGCATGACCCCCATTGTGAAGAGCCCCTATGCTGGTCTGTGCCAACAGACCCCTCATTTAATCCCAACAGGGAGCTGCACCTCATTGTGTCCAATCTCGAGCTTTGTTCTGCTCCAGAGCCCTCCATTCTGGAGCAGTGGGGACCAGGCCGGGGAGACAGCACTTGGGAAAGGGCCCTGGTTGGGGGGTGGGGGGATGCTCCGTCACAGTCTGCCTACCTTTGGGGCTCCTCCCAGGACCTTGGGAGCAGATGGGCCATTACTGTAAGTGACAGAGCCCAGGGGACAGAGCCCAGCCCCAGGGGAGGAAGGAGGTTCTCAGTCCGAGCCAGGCGGGGAGGAGGGCACTGCCCTTCCCGGGAGACACACAGTAGCACCAAACGCCCGCCTGTGAGGGACGGCCGCCTTCCTTGTGCCACCTCCCTTCACCTTCACGTTCACCTCGCGAGGCGGATAGTACTATTATAACTCTTTACAGTTGCGGGAGGTGAGGCTCAGAGATGAGGCGACTTCGCAGTCCCACTGCCCGTGAGGGGCTGGGATCCAAACCCAGTTCTCACGCTCCAGACCCTCCACTCCAGGGTTTCCAGAATCACCTGAGGCCCATATTAAGAATGCAGATTCCTGGGCCCACTCCAGACCTGGAGACTCAGAACCATTGGGCCCAGGGCCCGAGAATCTGCATTGCAACCCTGGGGATTCCTTTGCAGGTTGAGGTGTGGAAGCTGCTGACTTTGGGTCATCTTGTCTTCCAGAGTGAGGAGCCACGGAGGCCAGGCCAGCCCAGGGCAGAGAGGAGGAGAGGCCGGGAGGGGCGCGGGGTGTGGAGGGCAGCTGGGCAGAGGTGGGGCTGTCCCCAGGGCCAGTCTGGAGGGGCGGGGCCTGTTGCCAGGACAACGAGGGGCCTGTGCTTATCTTTACAAATCCCTCCTGACCTCTCAGGCTGCCTGGGCTGACCTGGCAGGGGAGGGATTAACAGACACCCACCCCTCCCCTTCGACCTGCCACCCTGCCCTGGGGAAGGCAGGAGGGACGGCAACCATTTACTGAGCGTGTACTATGTGCTCGGGGATGTGCATCTGTTATTACACTCATATTTGATTCAAGCCAAAAAACATAGGTGCTGTTAAGAAAACTTCTGTTTTTCCAACTCAAAGAGGTTGATAAGCTTGCTGGGATCATTCGTCAAAAAACTAAGAATCAGGTCACCTCCAGATTTCTGAGAGGTCCACATCTCCCAATGCATGTGGCATTTCCACTTTGCAAACTCTGAATTGCCACCCACATACTGTCATTTTAGCACATTCCAGCCGCCTCACCCCAGCACCAGGAAAGTCTCTACAGGTTTTCACAAGAATGGAGGTTCCAATATCAGCCTGAGTAGAGAGGACAGTCCTCCCTGTCTATCCAGAACCTGGCTGTTAGCAATGGCACGTGCTTCAGGCCCCACTCAGTGCTCAGTAACTGCCACGTCACACACACTTATGACAGGTCTGGTTATAACTGCCAGCTGCTGGTGACAAGTGTTTTTTTTTTTTTTTTTTTACTGAAGGTGGATTTTGGCAAACTTCCTGTCTACAAGGCAAGAGAGGATGTTTTTTAAAAGTGACCTAAGATCTCATAAGGTATGAAAGTTTCTAGCACAGGAAGAAAAAAACTGTTCATCTGGTATCACTAGGCTTTAAGGGCAGGGCTGGATAACAGCACGAAACAGTAGGGGTTTACAAACACTGACTCAGAGTCATCAGAAAGTGGTGGAAAAACTCTAAAAAGGCAGAAGTTGGGAATACTCGTTTTCAAGAATGTTTACCCCCCCCCCATTTTAAGGGCAGGGCTGGATAACAGCACGAAACAGTAGGGGTTTACAAACACTGACTCAGAGTCATCAGAAAGTGGTGAAAAAACTCTAAAAAGGCAGAAGTTGGGAATACTCGTTTTCAAGAATGTTTACCCCCCCCCCAGGTTAAAAGGTGTAATTTTGATAACAGCAATCGCAACAAAAACTGTCACAGATGAGAGTCTACCCTGTGCCCGGCGCTGGCGTATCCCAGTGCTTCCAAACCGCAGTCTCCGAGTGCCAGGGCCAGGGAGGCACCTCCTCGAGCAAGGGGAAGACAGAGCAGGTGGCATCTGGACCTGCCACTTCTAACTATTTTACAATTAACACTTAATGGGCTTCCATCTACAATTTCCTTTGAAATTCTCCCACCTAAGTTGGAGAACCACGGCATTCTCTCTCCAAGTTCTTGTAACATCCTGGGGGTGAGTGGGTTTGTCGCTTTTTACAGAGGCACAAAGAAGTCTGCTGTGAAATCCCGGCCCTGCCACACACTAGCTCTGTGACTCTGGGCAAAGTACTGACCCTCTCTGGGCCTCATTTACCTCTTCCATAAACTGGGGTATCATAAGGCCACTGGGAGAATTAAGTTCCACATTAGCGAGTAGCACAGAGCCTGCCCCGTAGTGGCTGATGTTATTCATTCATCAACAAATCTTTATTTGAGGCAAACACCAACTATCCCCAAGTTCCCGACATGGGTGGGGTCAATTGTGTGCGGCTTCCCTCTCCATCCCTGCATCCCCCACCCCCTTCTGGTTGAAGGAGGGGCCAGACTTGGGGACTGGACTCGCTGCCCTTTTGTGCGCTGGGCTCCCTGGGTGTTTGGGGAAGAGGGGGTGGATATGAGAGCGCAGCGTGCCCCATTGTGCTCCAAGATGCTTGGTCCTCTCCATAGCAACCAGCTGGGCCTTGCGGCAGAGTGGGCCCAGGAGGGAGGGGCCCAGCCCAGGGCCTGGCAGGGGTGGGCAGCAGGGCTGGGGGCCCTCCAGAAACCCCCACCCCCTCTGGGATGGCAATTCGTTTTCAAGTGACACAGTCTCCGGCCCCTCCCCAAGCAGTCAGGCTTAGGTAATGGCCTCCAGACATGGTCATGCCTGCAGTGCCTTATCCCAGTTTTGGGGGATCCCCAGGAATGGAGCTCCCCGCACAGAAAACGCAGAGGGAAAGGCTGGCCCTGGGAATCCCAGCAGGGTCATGTGGGAGTGAGTGTGTATATCAGGATACGTTCCATTTATGTGTCACCTCTGCCTCCAGGTTCACGTGGATGTACATTTGGGTGTGAATGCACACGTCCGCATGTGCGTGTTGGTGTCTACAGGCCTACAGGTGTCTGTGGACACCAGTTCATGTGGTGGTGTGTGCCTTTGTGCATGCCACGCACAGGTGTGCAGGTGTGTGGGTGCAT